AAAAGATAATAGAGAAAATGTTAGAAAAATAAGTACTAGAGTTCTAAAAATCTTTAAAAAGATAAAAATAATGTAACATAGTATTTAAACAAATAACTCTCATGATTGCAAGTATTAGATAACTATAACATGTTGTATAAAACTAGATCAACTATATATAAAATATAACTGGCTCTAGTAAGTCTCTTGTTAAAGATAAAGTAGTTCTAAGAATACTAATGAGCATTAGAAACTTGAATGAGTAGTGCTTTAAAGATGTTCTTATAATACAAGATAAATTGCATATGCAAAGAGTCTAAATAAACAAGACATTTAGCTAGTTTGCAGATATAGCATCTAGTATAAAACTTATATAGCAATGAATAAGTAAACTACTTAAATTAAGTATCAAAAATGCATAAATAGCTAGTTGTAATCTTCAATATAAAAAAGCTTTTGAAAGAATCTGTATTTTATAAACTTGAATAAAAAGATTATATTCCAAAGATAAAAACTTTAACTAAAAAAAATAAAAAAATTAAAGTAATATTTAAAAAAATAGTATATGAATCTTAAAAAATTGCAAATAAAGTTCTATAATATTTACTTTTATTAGCTCTTTTCTATTTTTTAAATATCTTTCATAGTTTTTTAATGCAAAAGATTAGACTTAATTAGTAGCTATAAGCTAACATCTGGCTAATTTCAAAAAACAATACTATAATTATAAACTTAATTCTATTTATTCTATTATATTAATTAATCATACTAGAAATTTTTTATAAAAATTATAACAACTTAATTAACAAATATTCTAATTTACAACCAAGTGCTTTCTTACAATTTTGCAGCTTTTTTGCATTATTTTATATTATAACCAATTTCATAACTTATTCAAATTCTTAAAAATACAACTACAAATAAAAAAAATTTGAATTCTCTTTTAAGATATGTTTAAAGCTATTTATATATTTACCTTATATAAAGTTTTCAAAAAAAATATATTTCTAATAAAGTTATAAACCTGTTATTATATTTATTTTCATATTAAATTAACAAAATGATTACTACTTTAGACCTAATTACTTTTACTCTGTAAAAACAGATTGATCAAAGAAAGATAATTTCTTCTTTTCTTTAAAAAATATACTATAACCTATTAATATTAAAAATATATAAAAAATACTAAAAGTTTCTTAATAGAATCTCATTCTAAGTACAAAAAAATACATATTTTTGTAATAATATATATAGATAATTTATTATAGATTGCATCAAACAAATTATCTTTGATCAATATTTTAAAGATTGTCTTTTTTTTTTTTACAAATTTGGCATATAAAAGTTAATTTTTCTAAATTTATCTTAGTTACAAACTTTTTAAATTCAAATAACTCAATATTGTTTAATAATAAATAATTAGTTGCAATCAATAATAAAATGTTTTTTAAATACTTAAGATTATATTAAAAAAGGTTAAATAATTACAAAAAATATAAGCTTTAAGAAAATATATAATTTTTTTAATAAGAATCTTAAAATTTGATATTATACTAATAGTTTGCCAAAATTGCATACTAAAAAACAAGACTTATTTATCTAAATATTATTACTTTAATATAATAAAACCAATTTATAATCTTAAAGTAGATTGTAAAAAAAAGATCTATATTGATTTAGATGATTTTAAAAATGTATTAGCTCTAACTTATCTATAATACTTTCATCTTATAATTAAAAAATATATTTAAACTTAGTTAAACCTATTTGTATCTTTATTAACTCTCCAATATTACTTTGAGATACATTAATAAAAGCTAATTTCAATTAAAAAATTACAATACTTCATATAACAAATAGTCAACAAAATATAAAAAACAATGCTTGTATAGTAGTAAAATATCATCTTTAATACTTTTACATCTTTTTTGACTGTTTTATTAACCTTTGGTCTTTTTATTTAAATACTTTAATAATTTTGTTAACTTTTATGCTTATATCTGCAAATCTCATCTTAATATAAAAATATATACTAATAACTTCTTGCTTATTGATCTAATTATTTTTATACAATCTATTCAACTATAAAATTATTTTGTATTAAATAAGTAGTAATATATTTACTTTTTTTAGTACTAAAAGCAGTAATATATAATTATACACTTACAATTACTTATAATAAAAAACTTTAAATCCAAAAAAAAATTCAAAATATTTTTTTACTAAACTTTATATTACAAAAATTTTAATATAATTAATTTGTCTTAAAACTTCTTAGTAACCTATATACATACTTATTAAAAACTATAATAAAACAAATATATAAAATTATAAACAGAATAGTTTAATTTTATTAACAATAAATCTTTTACTAATACACTTTATAAAACAATATTAATTAATCTTTAACCTTACAACATATATTATATAAAAAAATATCTTTGAACTTAATAATTGATTCAGCTTTATCTATATTAAAAAACTTTAAATCAAACTACTATTTGATAAATTATCTACTTATCTTCTTTTTTACTAGAAAAACATTACCAAACATCTAAATTACTTCTGTTTTAGGTATTATAATACATTTGAAAATATTATATACTTCTTATCTTGTTTTTAAAATTACTTATACCTTATAATTTTAATAATACATATAATGTATAAAACTTTAAACAACTTAAAAATATCTAGTTATAATAAAAATAATTTCACTCAAATTTTTATCTTGAATCATATTAATAAGCAAATCTTAGATCTAATAACTAACAACATTTTTGTATTATTTAAAAATAACAAACACAAACATAAATATACTCTTTTTATTTATTATAATATTATTTTTGCAATATATAAAGAACTCTAACTTCTTTTTAAAACAATCTAATATGATTTTATCTTCTCAATTTCAACATTATTATAATCTTTAATATTAACTAAAACTAAACCATTTTTTTTTTATTAAATGAAAAAATACATCGTTATATTACTCATAAACAATCTTCTCTTAATCATCTTATCATAGACTACAGATTTACCAACTATTTTAGCAAAGAAAAGATCAAGAGTAAAATAACTTTTACCTTTATCTTCCCTGACTTAATTTATTCAACATGTACCTCACATATATAAATTAACTAATTAATAAAAAAATAAAGAATAAACATTTCTTTTTTTTAAAAAAAAAAAACTTTGATAAATTAAAATTTTATGTAATTTTGAACATATAATATTAGTTTCCGAGATTAAATTTTCAAATTTTTAATTTGGATCGTACATTTAAATCAAACAATGCAATAATACTAACGACACTTTTGCAAATCTGATACTTGATGTATAACGTGATGTAACACGACCCTAAAACTGACCAGATGGGCTAGAAATCAAGCAGATTGACATTTTTAAAAAAAGTTAATGCCTTAATTTCACTGTTAATATTTCACTGAATTTTGAAGCTAATCTTATAAATGAATAGTCAAATGAAAGCTTAAGATCTAAGCTTTCTTTTGACCATTCAATCATGAAAATAGCATTGAAATTCATCAAGATATGAGTAGCGAAAGTTAAGGTATTGGTTTTTTTTAAAATTGTCAATCTGCTTGATTTCTATTGACGGCAGCCCAGATGATAATTTTGCTGTAGTATAGTTGACTGGTATTATTGCTTAACGCCGGCCTAGCTCCGAGCCTATTCCGACCCAGAACTTTGGTCAAACTGTTAATTTTAGTTGCTCCACTAATCTATCTCTATCTGTAAAGTGAAATTTCTGAAAATGAGTTGCCACTTCGCGGCATTAATACATGTCACTCTGGTTACATCGACATTTTTGAGACATTAGTAAAAATTCTCAAAATGTCGATACAGTGAGTTATACCGACATTTTATATTAAAATTTTGAAAAAAAATGTCGGCATATAAAGATTTTGCTATGATATCGTTATATCCAGATGTCGGTATAACAAGTGACGTGTACGTATATGCTTTTTTAAACCGATTGATTCGTTTATTTAGCTTGAACTCTATATTATATAGTTGAACAAAGAAATTTTGACAGTTATCAAGAGCTGTTCAGCAGATTCACACGCAATTGAATAAAAAAATTATTTGAAGGGTGTCAACCAGGGTTGTTAATTTACATAAATTACCGTAAATTACCTGTAAATTACTCATGTTTTTGGCAATTTGTTGGTAATTTACCGGTAATTTAACAACCCTGGTGTCAACTCGTCATGAATGCCGAAAACTTGTGAATGATAGCCCTACACAAGTTGAATAAAACAAATAAGTACGGTTTTCCCTAACGCATATATATACATATTGTCCAGGTATAAATCAAAAGAAACATTATTATACATTATATCCCAATTGAATTTTTTCCCGATGCTTCAACATCGGAATATACTATATTGGTGAATGACTCCGGAATTCTTTAATAATGTAAATGGGATCGCCTTCGATTAACAAAGATACAATAGAATATTTCAAAGTTGATATACGTACATACGTACAACAGGGCATATAAGTATTGTCTTCACTCCAAACAAAATCGCATTTTTTTTTTTTAAATTGCTCCTGAAGCAGGATCGATATAATGTCACTGCAAAAATTTAGAATATTTTTTTAATTCATGATAAATGAGACATTTTGGATCAATAAAATAGTACGAACAGCACAGAATATAGATAACTATTAGTAATTTAATGTAAGTAGATACACTTCTTTCTTTTTCAAAACCATTAATCATTGTTAGAATAATGAATGACTCATGACCAAAGAAAAAACATTATGTACGTACATACATTTTTTTTCTGAAAAATATTTATCGGATTTTTAATGTATCTTTAAAAAAAATGTCTGATTTTAATTTATATTCGTTAATATTAATACAAGTTGATGGAATTTTGACAGTTTATTCGATATGTGTACGAATAATTTTAGTTGAGTTTTTATCACGTGATTTTAAGCTAAAAATTAATCTGTAAGATATATAAATGTAACTTTCTACTATAGTGAAGCCAGACCTATGCCCGAGTTCCATTACCGTCGACTTGTTTTACCGGATCTATTAACAGAAAGTGATGTGTCATTTACCTTGTTTAAGTAAAAACTCTTATTTGAAATTACGGATAATTACTTACCAAAATAAGGATGTTCCATGGCTTCTTGGGGTGTCAGTCGTTCCTATAGTAAAGCAAATAATGGTATCAATTAATTTTCGGCAACTTGATTTTACAGTTATTTATGAAAAACAACCTGATGGTCATATCGCAATAGTTTGTCAAGAAAATCAATGGCCTCCTTGGAAACAAATTTTTGATTTTCGCTAGTGATAAATTTATTCCATTGTTTTCGTGGATACCTAGCCAAAAGGTGCATGCCAAATATATAAATGAAGGAAATGTAGGAATAAATAAATGAACTACATATGATTAAATATAATACCTTCCCAAAATATCATCATATTGAGTATCCAATTCTATGTCGTACTTATCAAGATATGCAAAAAGCTCATCTGTGCCAAGTACTCTAGCAATTTTTACCAATTGATCATAGTTATCATGTCCGTGAAAAAAAGGCTCTTTACGAAAAATCTAGTTGACGCTTTATTAGATTAGAACGACGCACGCAAGCAAAATTAATTGTTATATATACGGTCTTACCATACTGGCAAACATGCAACCCAAACTCCACATATCAAGAGAATAATCATATTCTTGAAAATCGACTAATAATTCTGGCCCTTTAAAATATCTAGACGCAACGCGTACATTATATTCGGTCCCTGGGTGATAGAATTCTGCTAAACCCCAATCTATAAGTCTCAACTAATGCCCAATGAAATAAAATTAATAACTTATCTAATACATGTTTATATTTATAGTGCTGACGCAGAAGTTTAGCTGAAGCTGAAATTATTTGCATCTGAGTGGTTAATTAGTGGTCAATCAATTAGTTTTATTGGATCAGTTTCAGCTTCAGCTAGGTTTCAGCATCAGCCATAATATTATTTAAAGTGAACAAAAAAATCCAAAAACTTACCTTACGCTTTTCATGATCGATCATTACATTATGTGGCTTTACGTCTCTATGCATGATCCCTTTGGAATGACAATAATCTAACGCCTATGTAACAATTGAAACCTCGGAATGAACATAAATGAGAGATTATAAGCATTTCCAACGACTAAACTAGAACAAAATCGTATACCTTCAAAAGTTCAAATATATAGTAGCGTACATCATAATCAGTAAATTTGGGATACAACACTTTGAAGTCTGTGTTATTAACATATTCGAAAACAAGAGACGGCGTCTTAGACTAAAAAAGAAAAAAATTTTCATTAGTTACCTAACTTAAATTATGCATTAGCAACCATATCTATATCCTTAAGCATTTTACCTGAGGATCTCTCACGACGTCCAAAAGTGAAATAATGTTTGGTCCGCCAGCTAAATTTTGTAAAATCTTAATCTCTCTCTTGATCTTTTTCTTCTTTACCGGTTTTAGGACTTTAATTACACATTTCTCGTTGTTCATGATATTAACTCCCTCAAACACTTCAGAATATTTGCCACGACCAATCTTACGCACTATTTCATAATTGTCTTGTACGCTAAAGTTTAAGAATCACAAAAAATCTTCAATTAACGAAGGATGCGTATATCCAAACGGGCTTATGGTAGATCTCGTATGTATCTGAAAACCAATACTTAAAATACGAAAGTTAAAAACAAAGACACGTTACCCCCAAGAAACCTGCAAGTTATCTGTGATGAATATTGTAAGCAATGGACACGAAGTTAAAACTTATACCACCTCTTTCCGGTATAATGAATCTATAATCTTGGAAAACAAGACACCTACCATAATCCCAGTACTCCCGAGGCATACACTGATTAACATTGGCGTACGCGCGGGCCACGCTAGTGTAAGACATTATCAAACTCGTAAAGCGTTTAGCTTAATGTACACGAATTAAATCAGATGATACCAGTATAATCTCTGGCAAGTGTAAATATTGCCGACTTTTATTATTTAGTACTAAGTTTTATTATTTTTAACTATACGAAACATTCAGTAAGGTTTTTTTTTTTTGGTGAAACTTTTTTTTTTTTTGGCTCATTAATTCGATATTGGACATGACGCAAGATCTCGGAATATTAAGGATCGGCATATCACGGGTGCGCAAGATATACTTAACGCTAACGCGTTTTTAATTAAATTTATTGAAAAAGTGAATGCAAATTAGAATTATTTACTGCTACGTATACAATACTATCACTCTCTCTTTTGGTCATCTTACTTAGATAAAGCCATATTCTGAATCACAATGAATATCACTTTTATCATTCCTAAATTTGAATCGTGCATTGCAAGTGACGGTAACTCTTAAAACATAATACCGAAAAAAAACCTACGTACATACGTACGCACGTATGTTCATAGTGTGTTTTATATCCATATGTGCATTATCTCAATACGTATATGATATTTAGTGAAAATCAGATGTGTTACGTACTAATTGCCTCCTGGCTAACGTAACCATCTTATTCAAAAATGGTTTAAATAGTCACACTAAGTAAAAATGTTTAGCACGATAAAAAACCTTATTTCTAGCCTTAATTCTAATCCCAATCCTAACTCTATCTTTAATTGGTACGTATCCGTTTGCTAAAGTAAATTTATTCAATATATAATTCTAAATTAATATTCATATTGTTAATATAAAAAAATTAACTATTTTATTAAAAGTTATATAATAATAAAATGTTGATTGTTACTAAAAATACAAGAAAAACTTTACCAATTTGTAAATAAAAATTTATTTAATAAATCTTTTTAAAGTTATAAAGGGTTTTTTTAATGAGTAGTTAATTGTTTAGCCAAACTGACAATTTTATTAATTAGTGATATTCTGTTACAGGGTTGTAGCCTTCTTGGTACAATACAACCAAGTAACTAGGTCTTCTGGTATAGTGATTAACTATTGCAAATATATACAGGATGGAGGTGTAGTAGTTTATTTTACTACACAGCAGTAGGCAAACAGTTCAAGATAGTAACAGTATATAGATTAATTTTATTAACTAAACATATAGTGACAATTTTGCTTATAGAAATTATTTTAAAGAAGGAATTTCATTTTTACAAGTTAGAAATAAAGATAAGAAGGTTTAGGTCAAAGTATAGAAACTTAGAATTGGCAGGTAAGAAGAAAAGATATTCTTTATATATTTTTTTATCTAGCAAAGATTAATGAAGATTTGAGTAACATTACTTGATACGTACTATATTTAGGATAATAGAAGTTCAAATAACATTAGATGATATTGTATTTTAAGTAATAGAAACTATGCAAAGACAACTGGGGATATTGTTTATATTATTTGTCATTTATACTTGAAACACTTGGAGCTTGTATTTAAGCACTTGAATCTATATAAAAGTACTTGGAATTTGTACAAGAATATTTAGAATTTGTGTAAAAACATCTGAAGTTTATGTTAAGAATATTTGGGATTCTTGTACTTCAGTACTTGGTATAGTAATTTGGTACTAGGATATATGAGACTTGTATAAGGGTATTTGGAGTTTATAAGATAATAGTAATATCATAGATGTTACTCAGTATTATATAATTGCACCACATTTCTAATAGTTAATTAAGATCTTTTTATCTATCTACTATATAATATAACTATCAATTAACTAATAATTAATAACTAATAATAAATATAAGATTTAAAATACAATAATAAATATATATATAACTACTAATACTACTATATAATATATTATACTAAAATCTACTTTGTAACATTTTTCTCCTCTTAAGAATTTTATTCTACAAAATTCTCACGACTTTTGTACCATTTACAAAAGTCAACCAATTGATTAAATTTAACTCTATTCATATTACTAATATGTTTTAGAATCAGTTTCTTTGTTTAATATATTTGTTCATAACTAATAGTTTTGAACAATCAATAGGTTCTAGTCCAGGCCTTAATTCTACTTGTCTTTATAGATTTGTTATAATTTAGTTTATTTATTAATAAGACTTCTAAAAAATAGCTATAAGCTAAATAGTATATTTGGTTATAATTAAAAAGGCAGACAACTAACTGATATATATTAGTAATTTTAGTATAGTAATTTTCCCATATTGATGTAATGATCATTGGTACTGTTATAGGAAAAATCTAACTTAGTGCATTGTTAAGCAGATCTATTTTTATTTTTGTTAATAGATCATCATTACAGATTGTTAACAACATGTATAAGATTTTTATTTTGAGAATAAAATTGATACTATTGGCATTATAAATAATAGTATCTGGGTGTTATATTTGTTCATAGAGGTCCTGTAATTCAAGGACTTTGTAATAAATTTATAAAATAATCTATGTTGGTAGGTTCTATAGTGAGTTATTGTTATTAAGATTATTAGAGGTTTAGTTCAAAACTATAAAGAAAATTAATATTAAAGAAAGGTATTTTTTTGGTTTTTTTATATCTATTAAAATTCTTTTTACACTTCTATGCCAAGTAATCTTTGGTTCAGTAATTTGTAATTTGTTTAATCCATGCTGTCTCTTATTAATTTTGTTTAATCTATGCTGTTTTATACTTAATAGTAACTAAATTTTATTACATATACTTTTTTTTTGTATTCTATTTATGACTACATTGTTTATAATATATATTAAATAATTCTTTATTTTAAAATTTTGGCAAAATTTTTATCACTACATGTCTATTTTATTTTATTTTTGTAATTATAATATTCTTTGTGTTTTTTTCCTCTTAAAAAGTAAGATGTCTAAATCTTATTTACTAATTTGTCTAAAATTAGTAACTTTATTTTGGTTGGTTCATCTATTTCTAAATTTAGTAATTATATTGTTTCTGTTATGATTATTCTTTGTCTATCAATAAAATTCTAATTTTCTATTGTTTTTTTTTGTTTTTTTTTTTTTAGTATTAAGGTGACCTCTTTGGTCTGAGCTTTTTATTAATACTTATAACAGGTATATGTTTATATAGATGTATCTATAATGAACTATTAGATGAGTGTACAGCTGACTACATATGTAACTTTTCTATATTACCTATTTAAGAAATCTGCCTGAGGGTTTTCTACCAGTTGCCATACCTAACACCTCTGCTTAGGTGTTCCATTTAAACCCTCTAATTTAATTCTAGTATTAATTTCACTAGGTTACAGACCTGGATCTATTCACTATTAATCATAGAACTATAATCCTTAGACTATTTTTATTCTCAAAGTAAACCTACCAGAGTGAGCCATATTCCCTTTTACCACTAACTTGATTTGATACTATAGCTGAGACCAATACTTGCAGTCAGGGTTATTCCTTAAACTGCTGTTACTTTTGTAAAGTTCACCCAAACCCTGGTACCCATCTTTTTGACTTCTTCTTCATCATCTTCTACTAGCCACAACTTGGAACTAATTGACTCCCCAGACTCCCAATTCAGATGGCCCAGTATAGTATACTTATGTATTCTTTTTCTCTGGCAATTCTGGCAGCCTGGTTGGTCATATGCTTCTCTATACATCTTTGTCATCCAGTTTATTCTACAATTCCTATGAAGGTGTTTCATAGACTTTCATCAGTCCAATGGCACTATTGAAAGTTTGTGCTATCTTTTTACTCAGAATTTTCAAGTGAGTTTCTGTCTTTTTGGTTTCTTAGCCTTCTACACCTAGTGATCTTATCATGGGTTTGACTAAAGCTTTATATGACACCAGTTTTACATTCCTCTATGTACATATACTGTGTAATATTATAATTCGCATAGATGCTCCGAGCTTCCAATGTCAGGTAGGATCTAACTTGGTGTACCTAAGATTACAGATGCACAAAACCCAACTGATTAGCAAGAGACAGTTACTATAATACAGATATAATTTCCAAAATTTGTCATCTGTGAGAATTGAACCTTAGACCTGCCACTTAAGGGTTGACAACCTATCCACTTTACTAGGTCACCACACTCCTTCTAATTTTTTATTGTATTTGTTTTTGTTATTTATTTTATCTACTTTTTCCTATATTTTAGTTTACAAAACTTTTTATCTTCTTTTCTTTTTTTTTAGTTTCTTTGTTGAAAAACTTTTCTTGTTGATAAACTTATCTTTTTATTTGCTGTTTTTCATTAAGGTATATATACTTTTTAGACTGTAAACTTGTTCTGCCTAATATTAAGGTACTTTAAAATAAGGCTAGTTATCTATTTAAATAAGCTAGGCAGATAATCTGTTTTGGTCTCAATAAACAATTTCTCTTTTATTATTTCTTTTTTCTTTTCTTGCAATTAGATAATGACCAACATTTAATTGTTTTTAATAATTTTTTTTTTATCATTTTAAGTATATTATTTAGAATATATATTCTAACTTTTTGCTTTATAGATATCTTACTGAACCAAAAATTAAGTAATTTCTATTCATTTGTTCTCTTTTTAAAATCAAGTTGCAAATTTAGAGACTGAAGCAAGTAAAAAATCTT